CAACAGACTTCCCATCTGAGAGGACAGAGGTGCAATGCTGAGGTCCTGGGGCCATCACTTTGGGGGATGTTACTATCCAAAGTGAGGACACCCCGTACAGGGTAGTTCAGGATTTTACAAAATTCATGGGACTGCCCCAACATGTCACTGGATCAATGCGTGTAGTAGGGCACCATCTAGATTTGTTCCCTCCCTCTGCCACTGGGCATGGGGATAGGGAACTAACGACAGCTGGCTTTTAATCAGATACTTTGTGATAATCAGACTGAGATTTAGACAACTGGAGAATTTCCCTCTCTGCAACGGTGGAGGACCTGTTGAGATGGTCTGCCTCCAGATGCTCATGCACCCAGATGGTTTCCAGAGGACCCTTGGAGGGTCTCTGGCTGATATGGCAGTGGTTCTATTGAATACTTTGCAGGTCCCAGGAGTACAAAGTTGACTGGGGCTGTTGACACGAGTGCTTCCAAGTGCCCTCTCTGTAGTGTCGCTCATATGACTTCATGCTACACCTCAGAGCTGAGAACAAAGAAACAAGTTAGGAGATGGCTTGAATGCAAACAGAGGAAAATTTGTAGCAGTTTCAACTGAACCCTGCTATGGGCATACAGTCAGACATATTTTGGAGCAGTGAAAATGGTGAAAAAACATCTTGATATCTCTTCTGTTTGCCATTCAGTGGTACTTTTCAGGCACATCCAGAGCCTATACACTGCTGGCCCCAAGGCCATCTTAGACCAGGGGTCTCAAACTCGTGGCCCGCGGGCCAATTGCCAGGACAGGCAGGGCACGGGGGAAGGGGCCCTGCGGCCTTCAAAGCGCCAGCGGCGCCCGGACCGGCCTCAGGGAGCAACATGGGATGAGCGGCCCACCACCACCGCGGTGGTAGAATACTTGATGCGGCCCAGCCTCACCCAGACTCTACTTCCAGTGGCCCCCAGGTAAGTTGAGTTTGAGACACCTGTCTTAGACCCATCCAGGGCTCAATGTAATATATTTGCCAGGCATTTCCAAAATCAAATCTCTTTCATTCAGCACAACTTTCCAATTTTATAGTGGTTACCTCACTTGAGGTACCCAGAGTCCAGCCTGGTCAAGCTTTATTGGATTAGTTTCAGTCGGTTCAGTTTGCAGATGCTGACAAGGTTCAAGCAACAACATGCACATTGGATCCTTGCCTCTTTTGGTTTATAAAAGCTAGCAGGGTGAGACAGCTGGCTCGGCCAGGGAGGAGATAATTGCCTCTTTATGAGAAGGAGTGGTCCTACACTGCCTTAAAGAGGCAGTGGTGAGGTCATTCCTCAAGAAACCCTGTCTGGACCTGGAAGAGCTTAATAACTTCAGAACAATTGTGAACATCGCTTTCCTAGGAAAGATCCTTGAGTGGGTGCTAGCTAGCCAGCTTCACGCATTCTTCGATGAGATTATCTGGATCCAATTCAGTTGGGGCTCAGGCAGGTTTTGACATAGAAGCAGCTTTGGTCACGCTGTAGGATACCCTTGCCAGGAGAGTGTGACTTTGTTGATACTTCTTCAATATCATTCATCCTGGTATCTTTCTGAGATGGGAGTGGGGTACTGCCCTGCAATGGTTCTGCTTCAACTTGGACAGTTGGGTCCAGAAGGTGGTGCTTGGGGAATATTGCTGGTTCCATGGATTTTCCTGTATGGAATTCCATAGAGGATGATTCTGTCCTCCATGTTCAAGATCTACGTAAAACCACTCAGTGGATATATCTAGAGTGCACCACAGGCAGCATGTTGATGACATGCACCTCTGTTTTTCTTATCATTTGCAAGTGAGGCTCTAGATGTGCCAAATCAGTGCCTGATGTGACAGTGGACTCTGTATTAAATCTGACAGCACTTCTCACATGTCATTTGAACCTGGGCAACACCTCTTGGGGTTAAATCTCTGGCTGACTTATTCTGTTTGGTTCTATGACCAGCTGTTCTAGGGCATAATCATTTAGGACTTGAACAATGTAACCTGTTTTTCATGACTAGAACATGTATTTATCTAGTTAATGGGAGGATAATTTAAGTCATCTATTATCATATTTCCTCATTTGAAAGTTTTTTTGATTTCAATTTCCATCTCAAGATCACTCTGAGTGTTCTTCTTTACAGGATGATAGCACGCTCCTGATAATCATTTTGAAGCCTAATATTGTCTGCAGAGGAGTCTTCCCATCTTACGGTTTCTGATCTGTTGGACACTGTACACTCTCTTGACATACAGAGATCCTGTTGTCATATGCTTTCATAATGTCTTTTCCTAAATTAAGATGAGTGAACCCTTTTTCACAGCATCAGTGATTTGTATTCCATGGAAATCACATCTGACACATCTGATTTAGCAATGATGCTGGTTTCACCACAAAGTCCAACGTATGCCTTTCATATGGTTCAAAGAGGAGGACTGAAAGGCAGCAGTGGGTGTGTCAAGAAAGAGTCCTGATACTCTGAGATATCAAAATTAGTTGGTTGAATTGTGTAACGATAAATAAAAGCGTCTCGGACAGAGATTGTGTTGATGAATGTACATACTGAGGATGCATGTATTATGGCCTGAGCAAAGTTAAACCTTTTATTTTCCCAGAATGTTTGGCATTGTTCTCCTTTGGCTAGTGAGAAACAAGGTATCTCCTTTGGCCAGGGGGAAACAAGATTTAAATTTGGAGGATGTTCCTAGATTCTCACTACAGGTACACTTTATGTTTTTAACACCATACCATGTGCTGCTTGGAACAAAAATAATGACATGAGGTACTCTGAAGATTTAATGGCTCCATTATTGCATCTTCCTGTCTAGTATAGATGAGAATGATTCCATGGTCCCAGAAGAGTGTCTCAAGGACCACAGGATTCCTTGGAGTCCCACCTCCGATGCCATAGGCGCTACTATGGCATCAGAAGGGGGACTTCAGTATCCTATCCCTTTTCCCTTGCAGCAACTACGGGAAGAACCCCACTGAAGGGAAAGGGCAGGATATAATGAATCCTATGGTCTTCTATAGCTAGGCAAAGCATGGACAATGAAATAAACACTTTTGGCACTCCTCCTGCCCTACCAGAAGCAGTTAGGCAGGGCATCAAATGTTCAGAAGCATTTGGGTTGGGGGCACTCTGTCTCATGAGGTACAACCCATAGGATTGTGCTGACTGAATTTTGTGCATTAGGCTGACTTGGATCCTGATGTTTTGCTTATTTTCCAAACTACCATTTACAGTCTGGAGTGAGTATCAGAATATGGATTCATCAGAAGTTTTGTGGTTCATTGCACAATTTCCATTTATTGTATGAATTTTGTTGGCTTGCAGTTTTAGAAATGCTATTCCGCAATTAATTACCCTGTACATGCATTCCCTGAGTCATTACAATTTGTTTTTTAGGATGGCCAGCTGCACATCACCAGAAAGAGGAAATGCATCATTAAAAAAGAGGATAAATGCTAATATATAAGAACATTTAAAAATAACTACAGTGATTAAAATTGAAATATGAAATATGCCATGATAATGCAGAAGACTGTGACAAGGTGACACGTGTATGTTGTGCAGTTCTCCAGGTGCCTCTAGTTGATAGATCACTTTAGGGTCCTTGCTGTCCCTTAGCTTTTTTTTTATTATTTTTGGGCTGAACACCCCTTCAAACAGAGGACTGTCTTCTGTAAAGTACGATACATGAACACTCTGGTAGGTGCTGCAAGTCAGAAAACTTCTTTTTATGAAAGACGGTCCTCGGGTGTCTCATAACACATTCGATTGAGCGAGATGTTTGGAAGGTTGTTTTGGAAGGTTGCTTTCTTTTGGCAACGATTTTACCACTAAAATGATCGGCCAGTCTATTACACCCGTAACGCGTGAATAACGTGCGAACGGAACGATCCACGCTGCGCCACTTCAGTGGCGTCTTCAAATGCAAGCAAGTGGCGAGGAAACCTGTTGAAAGAGGCCCATTCCGCTAAGCTACAAATTTAATAAACGCAACAAACGCACGCGGGGACAGGTGCTGGTTCACCGGCTTGTTTCCTGCTGTAGCATACACGTGTGCGCGTCTCCACACGTACTCTCAGACGAATGGTGCAAGAGCGACGCTGCAAAACAAGACGCTCCGGGAACGTTTCCTCGGAAGTAAATGCCCCCGAATCCACTTATTCCGAAGAAAATGCGCATCGGACCGCGGAGGAGCAGGCGCCTGCAAGAGCTTGCGGGCAGCCCGGGCCAAGCCCGCGGCAGCCCCCGCCCTGCGAAGGGCCCTGCGAAGCGCCCGCGGAGGAGAAGCGCGGCCCGCGCTCGCTAGCGCCCCCTAGCGCAGCGCCCGAGGCCTCCGGGGCTCGCTCAGCTTTCCCCTTCCAGTGCCGCCGCCGCCGCCGCCTCCTGGGCGGGCCCCGGATCCGCCTCCAGTCGCTTATGCGGGGGTGAAAGGAACATGGTGGCCGCTTCCTCTCTTCACAGGCACAGCGGCGGTCCGGGCTGCTCTTGAGGGGCGGGGCGGGACGCGGGCAGATCGGTCGTCGAGCCGCCAGGCCGCGGGGAGCCTCTGCGCTGAGGGGACGAGAGGGCGCCCGCGGTTGGTGCCGCCGCAGGTGAGCGTCGCGGCTGCGGGGAACGAGCTGACAGGCGAGGAGGCTCCCGGCTGCTTCCCTCGGCGTCGCGCCTTCTCCTCCCCGCCTGTGCGGACAGAGAGCGCGGCTGCAGGGAGGGGAGGCGAGCGCGGCTGCGGGACGGCTCGGCGCCAGTTCCGTGGTAAACAGACGCTTCGCCTCTCCTCCGCTTTCCCACCGCCGTTCTCGGCGCCTCAGCACTGCGCTTGCAAGATATTTTTTTTTTTCAAGTGTGTGTGTGAGCGAGAGCGAGTGTGAGTGTGAAACGGTGTGTGGAGCGGTGGCAGCCGCTTGTCCTGCGGGAGCTCGCTGGAGGGAGCCCTCCGAGGGAGGCGTCCGCTCTTTTCCATGGGGCGGGGATGTTTTGAACGCGAGGGCGGCCCCTTCAAGCAAGGGTCATCTGGGAGTGCTCCCGTGGGGGGTGGGAAGAGAGAGGCTGGCAGGATTTAATCTCCAGCTTCCTTCTGCAAGCGGCATTCTCCTCGCACATGTCCTCACCTGCCCGGCCTTGCCGCAGGGAGCTCACCTACACGTTGTGGGTGAGAAGGAGTGTGCCAGCAGGAGGAAGGCCCCATACGCCGAAATCTCCACTGTGAACCTTTCCTTGTTGGATGCATGCCTCTGTGTGCATATATATGTCTGTATGAATCTGACACCTGCTGTGAGTTTGTAGAGCTCACTCTCAAGTTGTTCTTACGGGTATTAATATAATGTCGGCTTGGTTTAGTCTGCAGTCCTATCTCCCCTTGGCCTGGGAATAAATGCTGTTGTACCCAATGGCATTGACGCCTGAGCAGACGTGTAGGATTGTGCGGTGACGATGACTATAGGGTAGTTTCTTATTTAGATTTTATATTATCATTACTTGTGAATTGTGAGGAAGGTGGCAACTAGCTACACATTCTAGTAATTCCCATATTCAGTAATCTTCCCAACACAGTTGAGAAAAGGTTTATTTTTTCATGATGAAAGTGAGAAAGCTATCACAGCTACATCTGAATTGCTGATGAAATGATTTCTTAGTATTTGCTGTTCACAGAAAAGCCTTGCCTGACTATTTTCCTTCCCGTCTCTCTTCACTTCCCTCCGCCCACCGTGCTTTGGTGGCTCTTGGTTTCCTCTGTGCCCAGCAGATGGAGGATTAGTTAGTTGAAAGAACTCCCTTGGATTCCAGCAGAAGGAATACAGGTGTTGGAGGTGAGATGCTAGATACCTTATCTGCTTGCTTGCTTCTTTTCTGCCTCCTCCCTTTAGCTCCTGTGTGATTTGACTTAACTCTTGCTGGAAATTATGCAAGAAATCCTAAACATTATATCCTGGGAAGCCATAAAATAAGGCAGTTACTCTGATGTGTGACACAATATTTATTGCTATACAACCTCAGCATTCTAGTACTTTAACAAATAGGGTTGAAATAACATCCAGAAGAAGCATGCTCCTAAAAAGCTTTTTCTTGGAAGTATGCTCATTATAATACAGTTTTTGGTTTCTGTTTCTGGGCCCCTGGTTACATGAGCTAATATTATTAAGGGTGCTTGCTGGTATCTTCCAGCCATGTTGTGTAACATTCTGGTTCATTTCTGAATATGTTGGATTGTGTTTTGTGTTAGATCTAGCTGAAAGTAAGTGGCATATTTTTTTTTTATGTAGACCCACATAGCCGGGTAGGTATGTAGTGATTTGTCATCTTAGTAGGGTGAAAGTGTACTAAAAGATGTGATTCCCAGAGGTATATGAAGAAAAATTCCGTTCTTTATTCAGAACTTAGGGTGCTAGGTTCACACATCACAACACCCCATGAAATGGGGAATTGCTGAGCTGGTCACAATGTTTGATTTACAATTGTAGTGATGAGCATGCAAATAGTCTTGATGAGCAAAATGAGCTAGTGGGCTGGTTTGCACAACATGAGACCCCATTAAGGATGATTTAATCCTTAATGAGCTGTAGTACATGGCAGTATACGGAATATTCAACCCCAGTTGGAGGTTCATCTGAACCCTTGTTTAACTCTCACAGGACTCTTGTTGGCTTGGTTTTCACTATGCAGTAATGACTGCATATTCAAATTGAGCACAATCATGCACCTGTTGTTCAGCTTTGCAAGGGTTGTTTGACCCTCACATAGCCTGAAGTGGGCATTGGAGAAGTGGATCCTGCCTGGCACACAACATAGCCTGCTGTGTGCTGTTTAGATCATGTGAACTGGGTCCTTCATGGATACAGCCTTGAAGACAATAAGAAGTTAAAAATGTCTGGGCTTTTCATTTTACAGCATTCTGATTGTTACATCTTTGCAGACCTAAAACTCATTCCATGGGGTGGGTGGGCATTAATAACATCTCAGTTTGAGTGTCGTAGTGGTGTTTTACTAATCCTTAAGCTAGAGATCACTAACTTGAAAGCCTTAAACCACTTTTATCTAGTTGCTTCTTGTCCTATCACATTTTAGTCAAGGTGGAGTTAAAAATGTTCTCATTCAAAAGGAAAATAAGCAAAGAAACTTGTCTGATAGCATAAACAACTTTATTGTAATAGCCTCTTATGTACAATCTGGGCAAGCAAAACTCTGCCTCGGTCCTAGAGAGATCTTTCAATCCTGCCAATATATTTTCTCAGACTCCTGTCCCACTCTGGATGTTCCGTACTTGGACTCCTCATTCTTGGATGATGCCAACTTAATTTGCCTTAAGACACCAGGGATGGAGGACCTGTGGTCCTAATTTCATGTGGCCCTCATCCTAATTTCAAAATCCTCTGCATGGAATCAGTTCAGAGCTTTGACAAGATTGTTCTGTCCCTTTTCTAGCAGAGAACTGGGTGGGAATGAAAAGGGAAAGAGAGAAAGGGGAATGGCAGGAAGAGAAAAGGGGAGACCTGCCAGCTTGCGGCTCTGTTCCTGACCACCAGTTCGTTCGCTCCCCACAGATAACCTACAAGAGCATTCAGTCCTTGGGAGATAAATCCTATTTTAGATTTTTATTCAAAACTGTTCTAGCTCCACTCTTGTTTTCTCAGTGGTCTCTGAGAATAGAAAAACTAGCCATCTTTGTTTTATCCTGAAACTGTTGTTCAACTGCTTGAAATGACTATTCTGTGTCTGTTAACTTTCTTCAAAAGTTGCATTGTGGCTTAAAAAATATTGCTGTCAGCTGCCCACTCATGAGTTGTTCTTACAGTAGTAAGCAGTGAAACACATGATAGAGAATGCCAGTTAGAACTTGGGTTGATTGTTTCAAAACACTGATTTGGAACCACAAGCAACAGTGGGAGCATTAATGTGGACCTTTGACACTCTCTGAGGGGCCATACGACTCTCAGATCCAAGGCTGAAGACAGAGCTTTGACATTGGGAGTGGGAATCAGAGCTCTGCCCCCTCTGTCCTACTGTTGCTGCCATTGTGGAAAGAACCATGCCGGTTGCTCTCTGAGGTGTGAAAGACAGCACATTGTGAATGGAGTGGGGAATGCAGAAATGTCTTGCTTCTTCTGGTTTTTCTTTCCAGCTTAGCTTTAATACCAGAAGTGCTTTCAGATGGATGAAAACATTTAGAGAAGAGACTATAGGACAATAACTAGCTGAGCACTTGTATATGATAGTAGCACGCACGTGTGTGTGTGTGTGTGTGTGCGCGCGCTGTTGAAATTAGATTCTTGATTTCTTTGTTTGTTCATGATCAGTGTAAAGCACATAAAACTGCTGCTCTAATATAGTTTGGCTCTAAATGCAAGCTGATTATAAAAAGTAATATAGATTACAGTGGATAATTCCCCAAAACTAGAAAAAGCTCAGTTGTGTGCAATCCACAAGTCATTTCTGCAATACATGTTTAACATTCTACAGCAAAAGAAATATGTAACATTGTATGGGTGTGTGTCAGAGTAGATAATATAGAGATGAGATACACAATTATATGGAGCTAAAATAGGCCAACTAGACTTTCTTTGTAGGCCAAGAAAATGATTACTCTAACTTCATTTTGGAAAAATAAATGTATAATAGAACGTTGCTGAAATAACGGCTAAGAGAATGTGTGGTACTATTGTCTAGGAGAGGCATTCTTTTTAATCCTATAATTGTGTTTTTGTTTTAAAAAGTGATGTTTTCAGCAACAGCAGATTGGCTCTGCTGGCAACTTGAGTATATCCTGTTGCAGTTAGGCATTAATTCCCCCTCCCTGTATATGACAGAGTGCCTATACAATTGGATATTTGCATAGAGACCTTGATTCATAGGTTGGTCTCAATTGCCCCCCCCCACAAAAAACAAACAAATAAGCAAACAAAAATCTGTGCTTTTAGGAACATGGCAATGCATATTGCCCAGTCACTTCAATTGCAGGTCTGAATTCTGCCTTGTCATTTCCCAGTGTGCCAGAGAACCAGTCCGTGGCTTGTTTCTGAGCGCTGCTGCCTCTGCTTTCAATAACCTAAAATGCTTTAAAATTCTTGGTTATTGTTGCATGGGAACTGGGCCATTGTTCCCTCTGCATGGTGAAGGAGTATGATGTGCCCTTCCATCACCATGCAAAGGCATCACATAGGGTTAAATACTGAAGTGATTCAATCATAAAAATGATAAGAACCATGTGAAATAATATATAATAATTGGAAATTGTAAGTAAACTTTCTAATGGCCAGTTAACTTTTAGTTAATGACTGGAATAGCACTAGTACTGTGGCGATATAGGGTGCATTGGTGCTAAGGATTGGTTCAGTGTGCCACTGTCTAAGTCTTTTTGAAGCCAGTGTAGAGAATACAGCATTGACAAGTGGGTAACTCATTTGTCAATAAATGTAGTATCATTTCAGATTCCTGTGTATCAATATGATCATCTAGATATATTTTAAGGCTGAAATATCATTCTCTTATTAAGATAGTGGATTATAACAAATGTACCCTGTCAGAAAAGCAAATGTCTTGCTTACTTAAAACTTGTGATTGAACGTTTGTGTAACCGTCCCTCAATGATTATAGTAGAAATTTATTTTTTCTAAAGTTATTGATACTAGAAAAACAGCTTTGGTTGGTAGTAGAATACCTGTACAAATAGCTTAGCAAGCTTTAATTTTGTGGATTGTCACATTGAGGTCACCATACTTCCCCTCTCTGTTTTCTTTTGAAAGTTAAGACTTAAATCAGTGTACAAATTTAAGCAGTAGCTTGGCATGTATGAATATGTTCTAGGCAGCTTAGAATGCACAGAACAGGTTTGCTTGTCTTCTTCCTTTTCCTCTAGAGCTTTGCATCTAAGAGTGTCACTTCTTTGGAATTCTTGCATTCCTAAAGAATCTACTGATTAGATATACTATCACAAAGGATGACTTTGGGTCATCAGGCATTTTAATATCTTAAATCTCAGATGTGTGCATTCTTAAGATATAAGGTTTGTAACATACTGAGTGCACTATCAACTAATTTTGTCTTTTGGATGATAGGTAATGGATTGCTACTTTGCTGGCATTGTCATCTGCATAAATACATAAAAGTAAATGTTGACTGGGTTTAGACTACACAAGAGTATTTTCATGATGGATTTATTAAACCCTACTACAAATTGCAGCTAGCTGGGATGGTGTTTAAGCCATGGCAGGCTGACTTATAAAGTACCCTGCAGGAAGAGTGGTAGGTTCAAAAAACTTGCTAAGCTACTGTAGCTTATAAACCACGATGGTGTAATGTGTCGTATGAATCTAGTCGTTATTTGAACCAAGTTCTGATGAAATCAGCATACCATGGTTTTGAGCAGGAGCGATGCCATAAATTGGTGGCATAGTACATACTCTGTATGAGCAGGAGCTTAGAAATGCCTCTACCTGATATATTATAGAGCCAGTGCTGGCCAGAGTGGATTGAGTTTGATGGATAAATAGTCTGGATAAGACAATTTCGCTTATTTGTGTAACATGTTCAGAGCTGAATAGCATAGCATAGATTTTAGTATGTGTGTTGAGGAACAAGTAGATTTTGTTCCAAAAATAACTGATTTTATAGTATGGGTATTCTGTGCTGCATCAAACCTAATTTTTCATAAGTTACACAGGGCATTGATAAAGTACTTTGTCTTACACAACCCTGTTCTAAAATGCTAAAGATCAGGAGTGAGTAGAGGGTAAATTTCCAGAAAATTTGTAGTTCAACTCAAGCTCTTGCTAGCGTGGCCAATGGTCAGGAATTCTGGTAACTGAAGACTAAA